TGTACTATACAGTAGGGCCTTGTTAGTTATCCACTATGAAAAACACAAATTTGATTTTCTTTCTCTGCTAAAAGGACATTTTCTTGGATTACTGTAAAAGATTTTTCTTTACCTGTTAAGTAATTCATATTGAAAACAAAGATTCTATTTTTATCAAAATGTTGTCTTTATTGGATCTCTAATTAGGAAAACTGAGTCATCTCAAAGTTATAAGACCTGGAAGTTTTTCTTTTATTATGTAACTTACTGTATTTGTCTATAAGATCTTTTACTGTCACTTTGGTTAAACAGGTAACTAAGAATGGTTGCATAGTAATCTATGGACTTATTTAACCTACTGTTCAAATCTTTGATGTTTTGGACAAGTTTCCCAAAATCAAATTCTAAATTTTACCTCCTCTATGCTGTTTCCTCTTGACCCACAGCTGCACTTTATGAAGCTATAAACGCTGTCTGCATGCCTGGTGATGGTTTAGTCACTCGGTCCTTATCTGACTCTTTCAGATTCCATGGACTCTTGCCTGCCAGGCTCCTCTGTCCATGGGATTCTCCAGGCAAGAATACTAGAGTGGGTTGCCAGGCCTGCCTCCAGGGGCTCTTCTCCAACCAAGGATTGAACTTTCATCTGCTTCCATCTCCTGCACTGCAGGCAGATTCTCTACCCACTGAGCCACCAGGGAAGCCCCTTTGGAGCATATTTTATACCTGAGAGTCTGTACCTCTTAATTCCTTACCTCTATATTGCCTCTCCACCCCTCTCCACCGGTAGTCACTATTTTGTTCTCCGTATCTGGGAGTTTGCCTCTTTTTTGTTATATTCACTAGCAGGTTGTAGTTTTTAGCTCTGGGAAACATTTCTATGTGGCGGATTCCTGAAGGGGCGTTTACTGATATTAGGGAACCACAGCACAGACTTCTCAGTCCAAATTCCAGTTATTTGTTCAAATGTAAACTTGGCCATGATCTCACCACATTGCGTTTAGCTATCCCTCTCCTTAGGCTCCTCTGGGTCTGTGATCTTTCTGGTTTTTTTCCTTGTCTTTCAGGGTTTTTTCTTGTTTTTTATGACCATGACACCTTTGAAGAGGACTGGTGGGGCATTTGGTAGAATGTCCCTCCATCTGGGTTCAGGTGCTGTTTTCTCGTGGTTAGATTGGGGTTCACAAAGTTGGTGTCCTTCTGAAAGTGCATGATACTGCACGGCTTACTCCTGGAGATGCTCGCCTGAAGCACGTGGCCCTCACCTGGACCAGTGGCTCAGGCCAGCTGCTTCCGCTCCACTGTTGAGTCACCATTTCTCACCTTCCCTTCCTTGGAATTGAGTCCCCAGATCCAGCCCACTCTCAGGGTGGAATTAAGCTCCACTGTCCGGAAGAGAGACCATCCCCAGATAGGATTTCACCAACCAGTGTCTAGAGACTAAGTCTGACTTTTGGGAGCGAGCGCTACAAAACCCTCTCAGGAAAGTCCCTAGCTTGCAGGGTAAGCCTTATAGATCCAGCCAGGCCAACCAAGATCCTTGGCATGTTTCGGGGACGTCAAAGAAGAGCCAAATTCATCAAAAGGCATAGATACAGCTGGTGAAGCTTGGGCTCTTATCTTCAGTTAGCAAAGGATGGAGGCTTTTGGAAGTCCACTTTGAGATTCCTCACGGAAACTTCCAGTAAAGCAAGCTGAACTCTTGTCGTAACTCTGTAAAATAATCAGGGCAAATTCAATGAGACCTGGCAAGGAAGGTCTTTCTTTGAGATTATTCTTAACAAAAGGGACAGCTCAAATATTATTTAGTCATTAAAAAACAGAAGGAAATCCTGCTATTTGTGGCACAGTAGATGAAGCTGGTAGGTGTTACTTACGCTAAGAGAAATTAGCCAGACAGAAAACGATTAAAATCTGCATGATTTCACTTATGTGTGAAAGTTAAAATAGCCAAACTCACAGAAACAGAAGAACGTCAGTTTTCAAGAGATAGGGGATGGGGTGAGGAATGGGGCGATGTTGGTCAAATGGTACAAAGTTTTACCATAAGTCCTGAGGATCTAAGGTACAGCATGGTGACTATAGTTAAGAGTGCTGTATTGTTAGGTGTGAAAGTTGCTAAGCAAGTAAATTTTAACCATTCTAACCACACACACCACTGCAGATCATGTCAGTTCAGTCACTTCAGTTCAGTCGCTCAGTTGTGTCAGACTCTTTGCGACTCCATGAATTACAGCACGCCAGGCCTCCCTGTCCATGACCAATTCCCAGAGTTTACTCAAACCCACGTCCATTGAGTTGGTGATGCCACCCAGCCATCTCATCCTCTGTTGACCCTTTCTCCTCCTGCCCCAATCCTTCCCAGCATTAGGGTCTTCTCCAATGAGTCAACTCTTTGCATGATGTGGCCAAAGTATTGGAGTTTCAGCTTCAGCATCAGTCCTTCCAATGAACACCCAGGACTTATCTCCTTCAGGATGGACTGGTTGATCTCCTTGCAGTCCAAAGGACTCTCAAGAGTCTTCTCCAACACCACAGTTCAAAAGCATCAATTCTTCTGTGCTCAGCTTTCTTCACTGTACAACTCTCACATCCATACATGACTACTAGAAAAAACCATAGCCTTGAATAGATGGACCTTTGTTGGCAAAGTAATGTCTCTGCTTTTTAATATGCTATCTAGGTTGATCATAACTTTCCTTCCAAGGAGTAAGCGTTTTTAATGTCATGGCTGCAATCACCATCTGCAGTGATTTTGGAGCCCAAAAAAATAAAGTCAGCCACTGTTTACACTGTTTCCCCATCTATTTCCCATGAAGTGATGGGACCAGATGCCATGATCTTAGTTTTCTGAATGTTGAGCTTTAAGCAAACTTTTTCACTCTTCTCTTTCACTTTCATCAAGAGGCTCTTTAGTTCTTC